GTCTCTTTATTTTTAATGTTAATACATCAAACGAGCGAGCGACTATTCCTAGACCTAAAGGTTATTTCTAACTTATTCTACATCATGATTTTTCATTATTTGCAAATTATATTTTTTAAATAAGTATTTCTTTTGTTTCTCTCTTGCTAGGCAAGCTTCCATTTTTGAAAACCCCATTTTTATATATAAAAATAAGACAAAAACATATTAATTTGGAATTCACTCCAGATAGATGCTAATAACTTTGGGTTGAAGAAATGAACTTGTTACAACAAACTATAACCAGCTCATGTGTTTAAAAGCTCATTCTTTCTGACAAAATTCTACTTGCTGAGATTCTTTTATTCTTCTACCCATCTACCTTCTGAACATGTACAGGTTATTTGGTGGGAATAGTTTATTAATATGAGTATAGAATCTATGCTTAAGAGAAATCATGATTCCCATTAGAATTAATGTACCACATGCTGCTGTACCATTCCGGGCAAAGAGGCTGTGTTTTGAAGGATGATGTTTTTGTGTGCTGTGGTGTATGTGGTGTGTATATGGTATGGTGTGGTGGGTGTGAGGGGTATGGGGTGCGTGTGTGTTGTATGTGGTGTGAGGGATGTGGGGTGTGTGTGGAGTGTGAGGGTGTGTGTGAAGGTGTGGGGGTGTGTGTGGTGTGTGTGTGGGGGGTGTGGTGTGTGTGAGGGGTATGGTGTGTCTGTGAAGGGTGTGTGGTGTGTGTGGTGTGTGTGAAGGGTGTGTGGTGTGATGTGTGTGTGTTACGTGTGGGCAGCTCTCAGCTCCCATGTCAGATTTTACACTCTTTTTCTCGTGTCTGTGTCTCCGGCCCTCACACTCCTTAACAACAATGAAATTTTGGTGAAAAGAAGACGGAAGAGGTAACTGAGGAGGGAGCAGAAGAGGAAGCAGAGGAGGAGGAAGCTGACGGTGACGAGGAGCCAGGAGAAGGAGGAGAAGACTCTTAGGCCTTTCATGTTTAATTTCTTCCGCGTTTCCAGGTAGCTACAGGATTTTGGTGCTGGGGTCCCTGTTGAGTCCAGTCTGCTCTGTGTCACACTCTCTTGGTGTCAGAGAAAGTGCATCCCAGTCAGAGCCACCAGGTCCCTTCCCAGCCCCTGGTCTGTACAACTTGCAGGTGGTCAAGCCCCTTCCTGGAGCTGCAGGGCTGGGCCCCCTCAGTGGATCCATTTCTAGGCAGGGCACAGAATGCCGGGGGTTGGGGAGCGTTTCTGGAGAAGTTGTACCTTTAAGGCAAGGCAGGCCTTTGTTTTGCTTCCTCTGTTCCTTGATGTAAACCTTATTTAAGGGAAGGCACAGAAAGGGCCCTTTCTCAGCATCCTGTCACCCCGACACCTCTGCTGAACACGGGCACATCTGGAGAGGGCTGAAAGCTGATGTTCAGAATGACGGTGCTAAGTAATGATAAATCGTGACCTTAAGGACATCACAGAGTTGCCTGTGATTCATGAAAGAAAGTCACACTGCCAGAGATGTCTTCCTGAGTGTGTGACACTAGATTTTGACTTATTAACTATTACCCCGATCGTGCCTGTAGAAACACTGGGATGTGCTGAAGTCAGTTTTGGCATCTTTGGCAAGTGAGTTCTGCTGCTTATAAACTTCTACTGCTGATGAAAAACAATTGTCACTCTGAACAGTTTGATAAGTGCCTCACAATTAGTAGTTAAGTGTCAATGAGAGGATAGACTCTAATGGTAGTGGGTATTGAGACAGGAGGGTAAGCTTAAATACCGTAAGCCTTACAGATAAGACAGTATGTCTGAAAATACCTGAAGATCAGTAAGTACCATAAAATTATCTGTTTTTTCCAGATTTTTGGCAGATGCCTAAGTATATATTGTATTGCTATTGCTGTGATTGACCTAGCAGCTGAATAAGAGGTAGCAGTTTATTCTCCGGGGCGGTAACGTTTACTATAAGAGTTTTTAACAAATTTTAAATTAAAACTTTTTTTAAGTTCCTTATTGTCCATATTATGCCTTTACTGAAAAATCAGAGACAGATTTTTGGCAGTTCTCTTGGGGCAGCCAGGGGAGGAGTTAAGGAGGGAATACGCCCCATAAGCACACAGCTGAGGTCTGTGAGAACCTTGGCGTCTGAGCAGACACAGATGCACAGAAGGGTTCTTTTGGAGAGGGAAGAAATCCCTGGTGCTTTTTTTTTTTTTTTTGAGACAGAGCCTCACATATCCCCCTGGGTAGAGTGCCATGGCCTCACAGCTCACAGCAACCTCCAACTCCTGGGCTCAAGTGATTCTCCTGTGTCTGCCTCCCAAGTAGCTGGGACAACAGGCACCCGTCACAATGCCCAGCTATTTTTTTTTTTTGCACCTGTTATTGTTGTTTGGCGGGCCGGGGCTGGATTTGAACCTGCCAGCTCAGGTGTATGTGGCCAGCGCCTTAGCGGCTTGAGCCGAGCCCCTGGTGCTTTGTAAATACTGGCTGACAAATAGCAGTGCTCTGTGCACTAAAGACGAATTTGAATAGTAGGGACCTCCCTTCTTAATATACTTGTACTTACGCTTACAAATAAAAAGACAGTATAACAAATGCTTAATACACTTTTAGGGCATCTTGGAGCTGGCGAGAGTAGCCATCAGTTTGTTATTGGACCATAACAAACAGGTTTTCTCATTCCTGCACTTAAGTTCCGAGGCGAGTCTAGCCCACGGTTTGACCTCTTCCCAGATGATTTTGTTTATGCTCGGGATGCAGAGAACTCTAAGAGCTTACTGCTTGTCACTTTGGTAACAATTCCATTTCTCAGGAGTGTGTTAGGACCCATGTTTGAAAAAAAGCCAACTGCCAAGTCTGCCTTAAGAAATCCCACCTGCAGAATGGTGGGAAGAGCCAGTATGCTGACCTTTATCCTCATACCAGAAACAAAACACCGCAAAACCCACCATAAAAGGCTCCTAAGTACGTTTAAATGTGTCTGTTCACTCTGCTTGGAAAGTTCTTTCAAAAGTATGCAATTTTAAAGAGATGATTATAAAAGTTATTCGATGTGAAATGGCACAGCTCAGAAAGAATCCTGAATGCAGACAGGCGGCTCTTTACAGGCAGGTGCCCCCCGCCCACCGCCGGCCCCTCAAAATGGCCAAGTACAGCTATGCCTGGCTTATTCTGCCTGTTTCCCTGGTGGTTCTAGTTTGGAATCCAGTTCGTAATAGTCTGTTGTGAGGTTAAAATGCCTGACCGTGAAGGAGTGAACCAGGCAGCATCTAAATCCCACCCTTGGCCCCTGGAGAGATTCAAGAACCTTCTTCAGAATGTGATGTGGAGGTGCAGGCAGGCACTCGGCAAAGCATTTGTCTTCCAAAGACAAACCCATGTCAAAGCTCACTGGTGGGCTGTGCATTTTGTTTGAAAAGATAATTTTAGGCAGGACATGACAAGGAGTAGAAGGATGGTAAGCTTATGGAGGGCATTCTCATTTCCCATATTGGAAGGGGAGTCAGAATCTAAATTGATGCCCGAGTCCCAGGACAAATAATGTACAATATGAGACTCTGATTTTACCCTTCCCCTCCCAAAGGTTGCCACTTAATCTGTGTACTGTCCTCTACTCTAGCCAGGGGCCATTGAGATTCCTTCCTCCAGGTCTAAGCTGTAAAGTCAACATCCTATGAAACACAGTGGGACATTGTAGTTAGAGATGTTGACTCCCTTAGGGTGTTTGATACATGTCCCTTCAGAGAAAGGAGGTAAAATTGGCATGGTTTTTCCATGGGAAAAATTTCCTTTGCTTTCCTTGCCTTGGGGAGCAAATGATGATTAGTGGTTTATAAACAGAAGGTGATACTTTTCTGTATTATATTTAAATAGTGAAGATTGAGGTAAATGTTCTCTGTCTCTCTTTAACAGACTTTCCTTAATATTTTCCCTTTCTTCTAGAAAACCCAAGCCATGAAGCAACATTTCAAATGTCTCCCACAAACCAAACTCCATGAAATACCGTGGCCCGAAGCTAGCACAGCTCTCAGCACATGGGGGCTCACCGAGGACTCAGCATACCTGACGACATGCTTAGGTGTCCGTGGCTAGCTCCTTAATCATCCTGATAGGAAACTGAATGTGAATACAGCGTGTGCATCCTTCACGTGCCTGACGGTGTTGGCCTTGGCAAAGTTTGTTTGTTTGTTTTGCTTTGCATGACTAGACCTGATTAATCACTGAAAAACACAATTTCAAGGCATGGAGCTTCTTTCTCTTTGTGATACAATAAAAGTATTTCTTCCTAAGTGCCTTGTGCTACTTGTCTCAGAATTAGCTTTGAAAATGAAGTGCTTTCCAGAAAACAATCATATAAATAAAGATGGGTTGTGAAAGGCCTTGTCCCTGGGCATCATTGTGCTCTTCACAGTCTGTACTCAAACACGCCAAGCCTGACTCCTGAGCGCACTGTCCCCTCTGCGTTGGGATAGATGATGCTTGTTGCGCTGATCATCTGGTCCACCTTTTCAGAGTGCACTGATGGTCTAAGTTACATCATACTCTGTACCGTGCACGTGGCTGTGCACATCATCGTGGAAGCCTCCTCTGACCGTAGCTGTGCACCCACGTGTGCGGGCATGAGGGTAAGGACAGAGACGTCTGAGCCTGGTGCCCTTGGCACATCTCTGAGCTGCAGGGAGCGGCTGCTCTGTTTCTCCTGTGTTGATTGATTTGTAGCTGTGGTTGCAGAGCTGGGATGGTGACTTTGCTGCTGATGGCCAGCAGTGTGTGTTCCCCAACAGCCGGTCGAGCCCCAGTGACATCACGCCAGGTAGGTCTGATGGTGTCCCCAGACGCTTTCCTTTCTTGGGAGGTTTTGCGTGGGTGCTGTTCCTCGCGTTTTCTTGCAGCCACGTGTTGGCTCTGCATTGTCTCCTTGCTGTGCTGTTGTCCTGTTTCCCGGTGATTATGGCAGTTCAACTTGGAGCAGCCGGAAACTTCTCCGAGTCTGCCTGTTTGTGTCATTCGGGAATGTCCGCCGCGGTGCCAGAGGGCGTGCAGTTCTCCTGAACTCTAGAAAACAGCTCTCTTCTTGTTGCCCTAGTAACAAAAAGAGGAATTTTGAGTAGAATTAGGTTATTTTGTTCCAAATCATTGAAGTAGTCTACTTTAAAAACATTTCTACCTTTTGTGAAAAAGAAGGTAAAAGACTGCAGTAAAATGAAAATTTATATAATTGAAAATTAAGTTCTGCTTTTAATTTCATTGCATTAAGTTACGCTCTATCTAAAAAGCCAGCGTCATTTTTTAGCAGCTCTATACAAAAATAAGCCTTAAGCTTCTTGATGCTTAGAGCTGACTTGTAGCTTTTTCGTGATGGAATTATAATGGAGATAGATTTTGCTAGATTTCCCTCATATATCTCATTTTAGCAGTTGTATTTTTTTTTTTTATTAAATCCTAGCAGTGTACATCAATACTATCATGGGGCACAGTGTACTGTTTCTGTATACAATTTGAAATACTTTCATCCAACTGGTCAACATAGCCTTCATGTCCTTCTCCTAGTTATTGTGTTAAGACATCCACAGTCTACAATCAGAGAGATTCACATGTACCCTTATAGGATGAACCATAGGCATGATCCCACCAATCACCCTCCCTCCACCCATCCTCCCCCCTCTCCACCCCCTCCCCTCTCCCCATATTCCTGGACTAAAATTGGGTTATAGCTTTCCTATGAAAGCTATAATTAGGTTCATAGTAGGGCTGAGTACATTGGATACTTTTTCTTCCATTCTTGGGATACTTCGCTAAGAAGAATATTTTCCAGCTCCATCCATGTAAACGTGAAGGAGTTTACCATCTTTCTTAATGGCTGTGTAGTATTTCATGGTGTACATAAACCACAATTTATTCATCCATTCATGGATCAATGGGCTCTTGGGCTTCTTCCATGACCTAGCATTTATGAACTGGGCTGCAATGAACATTCTGATACAAATATCTTTATTGTAGTGTGATTTTTGGTCTTCTGGATATATACCTAATAGAGGAATTATAGGATCAAATGGCAGGTCTATTTTTAGTTCTTTAAGTGTTCTCCAAATGTCTTTCCAAAAGGAACGTATTAGTTTGCAATGCCACCAGCAGTGTAGAGGTGTTCCCTTTTCTCTCTCTCTCTTTTTTTTCCTTTTGTATGAAAGGTCTTTATTGATAGGAAGAGGGAGGCTGCAGAGCAGCACCAAGGAGGAGAGAAAAGAGAAGAGAAAAGAGGGGAGAGAGATAAGGAGAGAGTGGGGAAGAGACGAGAGAGAAAGAGTAGAGAAGAGAGGCAGAGAGAGGTGGAGAGTGTTCCCTTTTCTCCACAACCACGCCAGCATCTGTGATTTTGGGATTTTGTGATATGCACTAATCTTACTGGTTTTAGATGATATCTCAAGGTAGTTTTGATTTGCCATATATCTTAAAAAAATGAAGATGTTTGTGCTAATCAGCAATGGTAACAGACCAATTATTTAAATTGACTCTTTTTCTCACATTGCCGAGTTTTTACTTTCTAGAAGAGTATCTTTATTTGCTCCCACTTAACTTATTTCAAGTATCATTGAAATGAAAAAATCACTTAGATGGATAATACCATATAAACAGTATCAGTTCCTTAGAGTTTTGGTTTCACTTATAGCTCCAACCTTGTGAGGAAAATCCCAAATTTAGACCAAAATATGGTTTATTTTTTAATTTTTATTTATTTTTTGAGAGAGTCTCACTATGTTGCCCTTAGTAGAGTGCCGTGGCATCACAGCTCACAGCAACCTCAAATTCTTGGGCTTAGGAGAGTCTCTTGCCTCAGCCTCCCAAGTAGCTGGGACTACAGGCACCGGCCACAACGCCCGGCTATGTTTTGGTTGTAGTCGTCATTGTTTGGCAGGCCGGGGCTGGATTTGAACCTGCCAGCTCCAGTGTATGTGGCTGGCACCTTAGCCATTGAGCCCAAAATATAGTTTAAAAGCTCACATAGTTTTCACTATTAGAAGCTTCCAGAAACTAAGTAGCATTGTGAATTTGTGAATAAGATTAATTCAAAAGAAAATGCCAGGTGAACAAGCAAATCATTTTGGAATAAAAAGAAAAGATTAGAAAAACGGGATAATCTTAGGACCCAAAGTTAATGGAGTTCAGAGTTTGATTTGTTTGTATTCATATAAGAGAGGCTTGAACATTTGACGTATTAATAGTTGTTTCTTACCTTTTATTTGGTTAGAAAAGCAACAGCACAGAAACTGGGGCGCGTGTTCCGTACCCACTGAACCCTGTCTCCCCTCCGCTCCCTTTTCTCCCTCCAGGGTTTCATTTGCGTCCCTTCGGATGGAAATCTTCCTTTGGTACGACGATTGAGGTTGTCATTGAGTTCTTAGTCTTCTCGGTTAAGTGTGAGTGGTGCAGGAGAGAATGGACCGTATTGCCCGCACAGGGAGTATTTACAGATGTTTTCTTTCAAACCGGTTTCTCTGTTAAACCTGTTCAGGCTGCCCCGGGCTGTAGAGCGGCCCCGGTGTGTTGTAATAGTAGAGCGCGACCGCTAGGTGGAGACAAAAGACAAGCTTCTTAATAGGGTGCCGCTGCGCCAAGGCCCCGTGGCCGCCTGCAAGGTTGGGTGCTGTAAACTGAAATCAGGCGTTGGGAGAGAATGGGACCTTTTTTCAATCAGGTGGAGGAAAAACAAAACAAAACTAGTCCCTCCAAACTAGTTGGTCAATTAGTTAGCATATCATTTATAGTACTTTTATCCAAGATAACTTATTTTGGGCAAAATGTTGCATATTGGCTGTTGAATTTCATAGCTTTACATTATACAAAAGGAGCCAAGACACAGTCAAGGACTCATTTGCATAATGACAATTTTGGTAAAGAATCGAGGTCTTCCTTTAGTGTATGAATGGTTCTATCGTCATATAAGTATACACAGACGCGTGATTGGGGACAATTATCCTTCCCTGTTGCAAGACTTTTAGTCCTAAGAGAACTTATGTCCAGATATTTCCAGAAATGTCCAGACATATATTCATGAGCCTAGCAAAAGCATTCCTTTCACGATTGCCTAGGGGACTTGGCTTTCTTACTACTTTGTTTTGGAAGTACTTTCTTGGGAGCAGAAAAATTGAGCTGAGAAATCTTTAAGATGTATTGGTGCATTGGACTGTCTTCTAAACTAGAAATCTGGAGATTGTTTAAAGATGTGGGAATGTTCTCAGTAATGTGGAAGGCTCAAGGCAGGAAAGGACTCAGCTGGCTGGGTGTGAGTGGCACAGAAGGGGTATGGGGTGGGGACTTAACTCTGGGAATGGGTTCACCCAGCGTTCTGTAGGTTCAGCGCAGTGGACTCACGTAGATCGAGCCCACATGCTGGATTATAATTGGGTTACAGTCTTCCCTGCTATTTTTATTGGCTAGCGCTGACTGTGTGCTTGCTATGAGTCAGTCTCTGTGTTGAGGCCTTCACCTCACCTCCACAGTAACCTGATGAGCGGGCTACCATCTTCATCTGGCAGATGAGGAAACAGGCACTGGACATTCAGTTCTCCAGAAAAGGCTGATCTAGGGCTGAGATGTGCCTGCATCTCTCTCCATATCCAGCAAGAGCCTCCCCCACAGGCCCTCTACTCCCTGTCCTTGGCCACCACCCCATCCCCCTTGGTGCCTAGTCGGGCAGTAGGCAGAATGTGCCCTGCCCTCCACACACCTCTGTCCTGGGTCCTCTCAGGGTCCTCTCAGGGTCCTCACACATTCTGTCTTTAGACTCCCTGAACCAAGGTGACCTGTGCTTCCTGCCTACGAGCCATGTGTTTTGTTTTCTTAGTTGACCATCAGAGGGCAATTCTGTCACCTTCCTCCTCTAGTTCTGGATGCTGCGTGGCCACCACCTGCTGCAGCTGCACAGGGAACTGAATCGTGGTCAGCCCGAAACAGCTCTATCTAGAAATTGGCCATCAGCCTCAGAAGTGAA